GTCTTTAAACTCCACATTGAGTTACACTTAAATGATCCCATAAAATAACTATTCTTTGAAATTTACATGAGTCTACCAATTGTCGAGGGTCTGTTATGTAGACCTATTACTTTCATATTTACTTTTCCTTTAATCCTCACATAAAAACCTCCAAGATAAGGAGTCATAGATGGATGCCACTAAAGTGTCTAAATAATACCAGTATGTACCATTTATTGTGTACTGAGTACTTCCAATATATTATCTCCAATTCTCACAAAAAGTCTGCAAGGTATCATCATCCCTGTTTTACAGATGAGACTTGGTTCTCTAAGAGATGAAGCAACTTGCTAAGTTCACAAAGGTAGGAAGTCATGGCGCTGGATCCAGGTCTTCCTATGAAAGGGCTGTTGTATCCCACAGACCACGCCCCCAGCATTAGGCACGTGACTCCAGTGACAGTGCACTAGCAGTCAGGGGGTGCCTCCAGGTAGGGCAGGGCTCTCAGTAGAGCAGTGGTGCCGCATGAGGCCGCCTTGCACGGGGGTCTGCCTGAGCCTTCACTTGTCAAAGTCCATTACCTGACCCTATCATTGTCTTCAGGGGTGGCTCCTGTCCTTAGAAATAAATTCACATCAGCCATATCACAAAATAACTACCAATTACTTATCATGACAGTAATATGGATAACTATCATTCACTGAGTACATGTTACATATGCTTTATGTCCATTGTCTCTAATTATTATGGAAATGGACCGCTCAGCCCAAGAGACAGACCCCATTTTCCACTCAGGACACATCCTTATGTTGAATTGTGGTGCTTAAGAAGATCCTAAAGAATGTGAACAAAGAATTGTTACAGAAGGAGGGGAGGGTCTTACCTCATTCTGTGATGATCTACTGAGCACCCTCTAGTGAAGGATCATGGCCAGAAGTTAATTTCCCTTTTGTAAGCTGTAAGGATTTGACAGGCTTAATCTAAAATCAGCACTCATGTACAGACTGTCTTTTTTTTTTTGGTGTTCCATAATAGTTATGACAAAAACATATACTATGATGCCTAAAGTAACAGTCTGGTAGTATTTTGAGAAATCTTGTCTATGTCATCATGTAATAACATTTTGCCAAATGTCATGATAATATGTATTACTCGTGGGAAGACTTAAGAAGTTAGGCAATCTCATCTACGGCGACTTGATTTTGACCATTTTTTTGTCCTGCTATTTTTGGAATGAAACAGTGTATGAGGCCAAGGGAGCCATAATATACCTTAATACACACTGGCACCAGTATCTCATTTTCATCCACAGCAGCAACCAAGACCAACCTCACTTGAAAAAATAATAGAAAATAGAAACTTATTTGGGAAGTGCCTCAAAAGCCACCCACTCTTTTGCAGCCTTTAGCCTCTTAGGGGTAGCTATGTAAGGCAAGATCATGACAACAGGAGTCAACTGACGTACTTCAAGTAGAAGCCATTGGAAACAACCTAAATGTCCATTGACAGATGACTGAATAAAGCAGCTGTGATATATTTATACAATGGAATACTACTCAGCCATAAAAAAGAATAAAATAATGCCATTTGTAGCAACATTCTAAGCGAAGTAAGCCAGAAAGAGGAAGAAAAATATCATGTGGTATCACTTGTATGTGGAATCTAAAGAAAAAAGAAAAAATAGAGGAAACTAATGAACTCATCAACAAAGCAGGAACAGACTCGCAGACATATTAAACAATCTTATGGTTACCAGGGAAAGGGGGTAGGAAGGGATAAATATGGGAGTTTGAGATTTGCCAGTGATTACCACTATATATAAAAATATATTAAAAAAACAAATTCTTTCTATATAGCACTGGGAACTATATTCAGTATCTTGTAATAACCTTTAATGGAAAATAATATGAAAATGAATATATGTATATATATGCATGACTGAAGCATTATGCTGTACACCAGAAATTGATACATTATAACTGACTATACTTCAATAAAAATAAATAAATTGAAAAGACTGTACTAGAGGTATTGTTCTCTTTTCTCCTTGAATTTTTTTTTAAAATGTGACTGCACAAAACAATAATTATAATTCTATACTGTAGGATTTGTGTCACATGTAGATACACTATATATGGCAATAATAGCACAAAAGAGGGAGGAAGAAATAGAGCTGTATTGGAACCAAGTTGCTGTGTTTTACCAGAATGGTCATTATTAAACTGAAGCAGGTTGTAATAAGTTTACATATATATTGTAACCTAGAGCATCACTAAGAAATTCATTTTTTAATTAGTTAATAAAACAACACAGGAGTTAAAATGGCATCCAAAAAAATTTGTTTAACACAAAAGAAGTCAGCAAAAGAGGAACAGAAGAACAAAAAAGACATAAGGCAAACAAAAATCAAACAGCAAAATGGTAGATATAAATCTGACCTTATCAGTTATTATATTAAATGTGAATAGATTAAACACTTTAACCAAAAGGCAATCACTGTCTGCCTGGTTTAAAAGTCAAGCTCCAAAAATACTCTGTCTTCAAGAAAAAACTTTAGATTAAAAGACACAAATAGATTGAAAGAAAAGGAATGGGAGAAATATATTATACCATGCAAATAGTTATTATAAATACCTACATTAATATCAGAGAAAAATAGAATTTAAGACAAAAAAAATTACTAGAGATAAGGAGGGACATCACCTAATGATAAAAGGATCATAACACCAGGAACCTATAAGAATTATAAATATATAAGCATCACTAAGGAAAACAGTTTGGAGATTCCATAAATGAAAAATAGAGTTAGCATCTGATCCAGCAATCCCACTCCTGGGCATGTATCTGGAAAAGATGAAAACCCTACTTTGAAAAGATATGGGTACCCCAATGTTCACAGCAGCACTATTTACAATAGCCAAGATATGGAAGCAACCTAAATGCCCACCAACAGATGATTGGACAAAGAAGTTGTGGGGGGTGTGTGTGTGTGTGTGTATATATATATACATATATATATATATGTATATATATATGTACGTACGTATATGTGTGTGTGTGAAAAATAACATGTATAAGTGAATCACTATGCTGTACACACACACACACACATATACATACATACACAATGGAACACTATTCAGCCATAAAAAAAGAATAAAATAATGCCATTTGCAGCAACATGGATAGACTTAGAGATGATCATACTAAGTAAGTCAGACAGAGAAAGACAAATATATGGTATCACTTATATGTGGAATCTAAAAAAATGACACAAATGAACTTACTTATAAAACAGAAACAGACTCAAAGACAGAAAATAAACTTATGGTTACCAAAGTGGGAAGGGGAGGGATAAATTAGGAGTCTGGGATTAGCAGGTACAATCTACTATGTATAAAATAGATAAACAACAAGGTCCTACTGTATAGCATAGGGAACTACATTCAGTGCTTGTAATAACCTACAATGAAAAATAATATGTATAAGTGAATCACTATGCTGTACACCAGAAACTAATACAACACTGTAAATCAATTATACTTCAATAAAAATAAATAAATAAATATACAGGTACCTAATAACAGAGTGCTGAATACATAAAGCAAATATTGACAGAATTGAAATAAAAATTTAGTAATTATAGTTAGAGATTTCAAGTCCCTTTTCTCAGCAATGAAACTAGAAATAAAATAATGATACAGAAGTTGTAAACAACTATCAACCAACTGCACCCAAGTAACACATATAGAAGATTACACAATGGTTTTAATTCACATGGAACATTTTCCAGAGCAGATCGTACGTTAAATTATGAAACAAATCTCAATAAACATAAAAGGATTTGAATCATACAAAATACATTCTCCAACAATGATAAAACTAAATTGGAAATCAACAACAGAAATTTGGGAAATTCAAAATTTTGAAAAGCATACTTCTAAATAACCCATGAGTCAAAGAAGAAATCACAAGTTACCTAGAAAATATTACAAACAAAACCAAACATATTAAAATGTATAAGTGCAGCTAATCCAATGCTTAGAAGAACATTTATGGCACTGAATGCTTAAATTAGAATATCTATAATCAATGAAAAAGAAGAGCATATCAAACCTACAGTAACTACATGGAAGGAAACAAAGATCAGAGTAGAGAGGCAGAGGGTATAGCTCAAGTGGTGGAGCTCATGCTTAGCACACATGAGGTCCTGGGTTCAATTCCCAGTACCTCCTCCAAGTAACAAAGATCAGAGTGGAAATCAATAAAATAAAAATCAACAAAATCAAGACAATTGTTTTGACAAGATGAATAAAACTGAAAAAACTTTCACTAGACTGAGAAAGAAAAAAGATAAAAATTATTAATCAGGAATGAAAAGGGAATGTAACCACTGATCCCACAGAAATTGAAAGGATTATAAGGGAATATTAGGAACAACTTAATTCCAGCAAATTACACAATTTAGCTAAAATGTATCAATTCCTAGACAGACAAAAATGACCAAAACTGACCCAAGAAGAAATTAAAAATCTGAAAAGATCAATAACAAACAAAAAATTGAACTAGTAATTAAAAATCTTCCCCCCAAAAAAAGCCCAGATGACTTTACTAGTAAATTTTATCAGCTATTGAAGGAAGAAATATTACCAATTCTACACAAACTCTTTAGAAAATATGTGTATTACTTTGTTAGGGCTGTGTGGATGAAGAATGTCGCCTACTGTATCAGTGAACAAAGGATGTTGCAGCCATCAAGCCAGCAGCCACTGCAGCCACCCCTCTGTACACCCTCAGGGGATTCAGGGTGGAGAAAGCAGCACACTGGCCCCAGAGAGTTAGGTGCAGATCAAAGGAGTGATTTCAGTAAGCTCAGACTCTTGCATCTTCCCAAAGAAAAATGCTAAATTCATTAACTTGAGATACCTCGTTTTCTTGAATTAACAGTCATCTTTTGATGTTCCAACTACCTGTTTGTTGCAACACCTCCCACCCCCCCAACCCACCCCCCCAGAATCCTGGTTCCTTCCTTACCTTTTGTGGAGCAGTCCCTCAGCCATCTGAGCAGCTGTCTTCTGCGCTCAAGTCCTCAGAAAGCCTGCCAAATAAAATACAATTCTCAACTTTTGGGTTGTGCAATTTTTTTTCAATTGACGGCTGCCATAACAAAGTACCCTGAACTGAATGGCCTACACAGAAATGTATTACCTCACAGTTCTGGAGCCTAGAAGTCTGAGATCAAGGTGTCAACAGGGCTGGTTCCTTCTGAGGGCTGTGAGGGAAGAGTCTGTTCCAGGCCTCTCTCCTTGGCTTGTAGATGGCCGTCTTCTCCCTCTGTCTGTCTGTGTCCAAATTTCCCCCTCTTATAAGGATACCAGTCTTATTAGACTAGAACCCACAAGAATGATTTTAAGTTGATGACCTCTGGAAAGATCCTATCTCTAAATGAGATCACATTTGAGGTACTAGTGGTTAGTACTTTAACATATCAATTTGGAGGAGGGACACAATTTAATCTATAACAATGGATGAGAAACAAATACTTCACAACATAAGTCATTATATGAGGCCAGGATTATCCCCGATACCAAAGATATCGGAAGTAGAGAAAACTAAAGACCAATATCACTCATGAAAATTAGTACAAAAAATTAAAAAAATAACACTAGCAAACTCTGCATATGTTTTTTAAATTACATACCGAGTGGGATTTACTTCAGGAAATTACAATTGATTTAACATTTGAAAGTACATTAATATTATGTACCATATTAATAGAATGAAGGATAAAAAAAACACATGATCACATCAGCAGATACAGAAAAAACATCTGACAAAATCCAATACCTGGTATTCATGATTTTTAAAAAGCAAACAAAAAAACTCTTCTTTCACAAAGTAGACAAAAACTAGAACTTCCTCCACCTGGTAAAGAGCTTCTGAAAAAGTCTACAGCTGTGCTATACTTAATGGTGAAAGACTGAAAGCTTTCCGTAAGATCAGGAACAAGTCAAGGATGTCCATGCTTTACCATTTCTATTCAAACCTTTGGCAACCTGGGTAAAGGCTTCAGCAGCAAAAACGTTACCAAAGCCTTTAGCCAGGAATAGGCTACAGTAAGAAATTAAAGGCACCCAGAATAGAAAGAAAAACATAAAACTATCATTATTCACAAAATATGTATGTAGAAAATCTGATAGAATGTAGAAAAAGCCTACTAGAAATAGTAAGTTTATCAAAGCTGTAGAATGCAAGCAACAAACAATCTAAAAATGAAATAAAGAAAAAATTCCAGTTGCAAGTCATAAAAAGAATAAAACAAAAAATCACTGAGGACTTCAAAACAGTGCTTTTAAAAGGTTTTAAAAAAGTGGAGAAACATATCACGTCCACAGGTTGGAAAACTCAGCATTGTCAAGGTGGCTGTTCTGCCCAAGTTGATCTGTAGATTCGAACGCAATCCCTATCAAAATCCAGCAGGATGATTTTTATAGAAACTAGCAAGTTGATCCTAAACTATATATGAAAATGCTAGACTAGCCAATATAAGTTTGAATACGAAAAGCAAAATTAAAGGAGTCATACTACTTCATTTCCAACTTGACTAACAAGTATAGTAATAAAGTGCAGTATTGGTATATAGACATATTGATCAATGGAAGAGAATAAAGAGTACAGAAATATACCTCTACATTAATGGACAATTTATTTTCAACAAAGATGCCAAAACAATCTGCTGTTAAGAACTATATTTTTCAAGAAATAGCCCTTACAATTGAATATGCAAGTAAACAAATTTAGTTCTTATCTCACTCCGTAAACTTTAATGGATCATAGGCGTCAGGGTATGAGCTAAAATTATATAATATCTAAAAGAAAGCATAGGAGAAAATCTTTCTGCCCTTGGATTAGGCAGAAAACTCTTAGATTTGACACCAAAAGCATGAAAATGCTGATAAATTGCACTTCAACCAAATTCAAAACATTTGTTCCTCAAAAGATACCATCAAGAAAACAAAAAGGGAAACCATACACTTGGAGAGAATACTTGCACATTATGTATTTGATAAAGGATTTGTATCCAGATCAAGCAAAGAATTATTACAGCTCAATAATTAGAAGGCAATTAAAAAATACACAAAAGATTTTAGTAGACCTATCACCCAAGAAAATGTATAAATGGCTCAACATCATTACTTACTAGGGAAATGCAAATTAAAGTCATAGTAAGATACCATTCACTACTCACCCACTACAATGCCTATAAGTAAGAGACTGACAGCACCAAGCACTGATGAGATTCTAAAATGGTGCAATACTTAGGAGAACAGTGGGGAAGTTTCTTTAAAAGCTGAACATTGGCTTAACAAATAATACGGCAATTTTACTCCTAAGTATCTACTGAAAAGAAATGAAGGTGTGTGTCTACACAAAGACTTGCAAGTGAATATTCAAAGCAGCATTATAAGCAAAAAATGGGAATAATCCACATGTCCATCAACTGTGAATAGATAAATGCTATGTATCTGTACAATGGAATGCTCTTTAGCACTGAAACCACAACATGGATAAACATCAAAGTCATTATGCTAAATGAAAGAAACTATACACAAAAGACTGTATATTGCATGGTTCCATTTAAGAAATTTCTAGAAAAGGCAAATTTATAGAACTAACAAGCAGATTATCGGTTGCCTGAGTCTGACAGTGAGAGAGAGAAATAACTGCAAATAGATACAAGGGAACTTTCTGAGTTGATGGAAATGTCTTAAACTGGATGGTTGCACAGCTCTCTATATTTGCAAAAATAATGTGAACAGTTTGGTAGGCTGAACTGCTCCAAGGGTGTAAAATATCACTAGGAAGTTGGGCTGAGTTTGATGGGCAATTGGAAATGCAGTCTTGGAGCTCAGACAGATGTGAGTTTGGAGGATGTAGTTTTGGAAATTATGCACAGGGTGGAAATCATGGGAATGGAGGCGATCAGGAGAGAATGAAGGGTAAGCAGCACAGGACATACCCTTGGAGAACACCCATCCCCAAGGAGCCTGAGGACGCAGAGTTAGAACAGAGTTCGCTATGCCATTTAAAAGAGAAAAAAATCTCCCATGCCTTCATGAGACTCACCTTCCAGAACAGACGTCGGCAGTGGTGGTAAAGTCACAAAGAAACACAGGCAGACAGGAGGCAACAAACGGTCCAGGCTGTAGTATTCCTAGATGATAAAGGTACAAAACATGATGATTTCGCCCTTTTTCCTCATCCCTTAAAATAGATTTACTAACAGGTAGGATGCACCAAGAAACATTCTTCTAGTTTGGTTTGCTTGTTCTTAAGTCTTGTCTTTCTCGGGAGGTGATACATTAATACGATTTTTAAAATAAAGATTACATAAAAAAGCCATATAGAGCAAATCTTGTTCCTCACCTTCCCACCTCCCACTACATAACAACCTTAAGCAGTTTCCTTGTTTTTTTTTGTTTCTTTGTTTGTTTTTGTTTTTGTTTCTGTCTTTTTCAGGAAGTTTTGAAAAAGAATTTAGTAGAATTACAGAAAAGCATGTGAAAATAGAGTGGCATAAACAAAGAGGAAGGGTGGGGGAGGGGAGACCATGGTAGAAGCACCGTGGTCCCTCCTTATCTGCGCTTCCACTGTCCGCAGTTTCCTTTACCTGTAGGCAACATTATGTAGAAAGTTCCAGAAATAATCCAGAAGTTTTAAATTGTGAGTTATTCTGAGTAGCGTGATGAAATCTCCTGCAGTCCTTTGTCCAGCGTATCCACGCTGTATATACACTGCCTGCCCGTTAGCATAGGAAAAACAGAATTTATGTAGGGTTCTGCCCTATCCCTGGTTTCAGGCATCCACGTGGGCTCTCGGAACCTATCCCTCCGCAGATAACCGGGGGACGACTATGTGGGAGAAAAGAAAAAGGTGGGGATGGAGAACTTCAGGTGGGGCTTAGGTGACATTCTCTGGGTCCTGTCCCTACCCCAAGAGGATTGTCTAGCCCTCACCCCTGCCTCCCCTCTGCTTCCCCGAGCAAAGCCTGACCTCGTTTGCTGGGACAGCAACGCCGCCCTGGATCTGCGCTCGCCAGAGCAAGCACCCACCTCTCTGCCCGTGGCCTCCCTCGGCGTGGGGCGGGGCAGGGCGAGGAGGGAGGTCTGGCCAACCACGGCTCAGCTCTTAAAGAGGTGCCGGGTCTCAATCTAGTCATTAAAACCCATTGGTTAATGCAACCGGTACTTCTAACACATTACTGCCGGCTGAATTCAGGTGTCTTCAATTATCCAATGATTGGGATAATTGAAGACACCTGAATTTGGCCGGTGGTAACATGTCGATGTTAATTTCCTAACTTAAAAGATGGTGGTTATGTAGGAGAATACCTTCTTCATAGTGACGGAAATATTTGACGTGATGGAAAATCATGTGGGCAACTTTCAAATGGTTCAGGAGTAGGGGGAATGTGCTTTGTACTATACTGGCAACTTTTCCATACGTTTGAAATTGCTTTAAAATTTTTAAAAGCTGTATGTTAGTGGGTAGGTTGGGTTGATGTGATGTTTTTGGTTTATGGGTTAGTAGGACCAGACAGAACAAAATGAACGAGGTGGAGGGGAGAGGTCACGTGTTCCCCCGTCCTCATGTTTGTAGAACTCCCGGTTACAAGGCTGGAAGTAACCCTGTTTGCCTTGCAAAACGTAAACAAAGACATTACCCTTAAACTGTGCAATAATGTGCTTTCCTCATCCCAGCTAACAGCAGGACTCCAGCAATCAGACCAAATAAGTTTAGTGGCTGGCGCTGGGAAGGTTCGCTCCCGCAAAGAAAGGCAATTTAAGTAATTAGCCCAGTCTTTCTGGTAGGATCAACTCCTGGGCTCAGCGGGTGCGAGGGACCACACGGCTGTTAGGCAAGAAAAACTATTCTTCATTTTCACCCTTTCTTCTTCTAACCCAAACTTTCAAGGCATGACCAGAGAAGACACTTTTCCTCTCAGTGTCCCAGATGGAAAGAGGCTGACGGCAAAGCCAAACCAGCGCATGCTCACAGTGTTTGTTTCATTTTGGGTTTTGATCGTTTGTTTCCCAGTGAAAACAGCTTTGTTGTTTCTCCAGATTATAAAAGTAATCCATGCTTGTTACTAAAACAAATATAGGCAGTAGCAAATAAGGATAACTATAAAGTAGAAAGCCAAAATTATCCACAATCTTCCCACCTAGAGAGAGCAATGGTTCATAATTTAGTGTATTATCATTCAACTTTATATAATTATAAATAAAAATATTTTTATAGTATAGTTTTATTTTATCTATTTTATTTATTTTATATTTTTATTATATAGTTTTAGTAGAGTTTTATGGCAAACTAGCTACATTTTAACCATTCTAATCTGTTTTCCTCTTCCTCTATCATGTTAATAAATATATATTACAGATGTCATGCCACAAAGAATCCTTTGCCCAGACAACCCAGTAGAAAATTACACAGAAGACTTTAGCAGGCTTCTGGGGGCAAAGCCCAGTAAACGTTAAAAGAAGCTTCATTGGTCATCAGGAAAATTCAAATTAAAACCATGATTACCCACCAGAATAGCTAAAATGAAAGAGACAGATAAAAGCACACGGTGGCAAGGATGTGAAGCAATTAGAACTCTCATACACCACTGTTCAGTTGTAAATTGGTACAAACACTTTGGAAAACTGTTTGGCAGTATCTATTAAAACTAATCATATGGACACATAGATTCGGAAGGTCTCTTCCTAGGTGCATATACATCTTCACTGAAATGCATCTACATCTTCGTCAAAACACAGGTACAGGAATGCGCATACCTTCACGATTCATAATGGCCCCAAACTGGAAACAACCAAATGTCCGGGTATCACAGGATGGATGAATAAATTGTGGTATATCTGTAATGGAATACTATAGAGTAATGAGAATGAATGGAGCCCAACTACACAGATGACTCTCACAAATGTAACACTGAGAAGAAGCCAGCCACAGATTATACACTGAGCAATCCATTTGTAGAAACGTCAAGAGCTAGCTTACTAACCATGGTGAGGTCAAGATAGAGGTTACTCCTCTCGGGACAGGGACTGCAGGGGAGCACATGGGGACTTCTGGGGTGTAGTAAACTTCTCTTTCTTGATTTGGGTACTGGATATAGGGGTGTATTCACCAAAGTTTATCAAGCTGTGCCTTTAGGATCTGTGTGATTTTCTGTATGTAGCAGGTCAATAAATATACTACTACCAATAAAATTAAACGGATCAGCTCTCCAAAGCCTGGAATCAACTGTTTTGAATCAATTATATTCAGACTTTTTTTCTCACAATCAAATTGTAGGAATTTCCTAATTTTAAGGCAAAAACTACATCCAGACTGCATACAATATTGATGGCATTTCCATTTTTAACCCTCGTTTAACTATTTTAACCTGTATCTGCTTGTTCCTCTCAGTAGGCACTGCCGTATTAAGTAACAAAGAACATCCCAATCCTTGGCTCCTTGAGTTGTCCCCAAAGGGCTAGAACAGTGGTTCTTAGGGAAGGTAAGGGGTACATTGCAATCACCTACACGCACATGCATCCAGGCAAGTGCAAACGAGGTTGACGTTAGTTGTACATTGTCAAGATGCTATGGATTGCTAACTCAATTTTGCCTCAGGTCCCAGGCCACTCATTTTCCTAGATCCTGAAAGTGCTGGTTCTTGAAGACTCAGGAGAGTCCCTCCCCAGAAATTGTTCTCAACAGAATGAAGCTGCCTGCTCAGGTGATGCTGTTTCCTGGGGCAGCGCACATCCAGTGACTGGTCCACATAGGACCAAGAAGGCTGGCCCCTGAGTCAGTGGAAGACTACTCTGAAGGCCCGCTCCAGTTCCAGGTGCCCCATGATTTGGCTGAAGCCTCTGTTGAACTGCATCCTGGCTCAAATTTTCACTCTATCCAATCTTGCTTCCCTTATCTCCTCCCAGGCGTGGTGTCTGAGACTACTCCCCATAAACTTCCTGTATGCAAAGCTCCATTTCAAAGCCTGTTTCCCAGGAGACCTGACCTTAGATGTTCACTTATGAGAAAGAATTCAAAATGCATGTCCCATCACTGTAAGCCAGTACTGTCCAGGATAGGCTTTATGGAAACTTAAAGGCACACAGAATTGTGATTTTGGAAAAGCCAACTTTAAGCATGCTGGATAACGAACCACTAGGAAGCCTCAGGTCAGAAGCACAGATGGTCAGAGTGAGTTGGGGAACCACTGCTCAGGTTGGTCTAACCAGAGCAGAGTGGCTCTGCTGGGAAATAGAGACATGAGGTTTCAGAGGCCAATTAGGGCTGGTTGGAAAAAAAGCCTTGGCTTGAAATTAACACAAGGAACCTGGGGTGATTTTTCAACAAGTGCTTCACAAAGGTAAAGCTGCTTTCGGATGAATCTAGCAGCGAGGTACAAGGCTAACTGCAGGTGAGAGCGACAGCTTGAAGGCCAGCATGGCAGCTGGGGCCACAGTCCCGGGGAAAGGCACAACATGTCCTTCCTGCACACAGCCCACAGGGTGTCCCTAAGATGAGAGCTGTCCTTCCCATCTGAAGGGCCATCAGGAGAAAAAGGAATCGGCCTTGCTCAGTGGGGCAGCACCAAGCTATTAAGGAAGCAAACATCAGTGAAATGCAAGGAGACACACAAAACCAGAGAGCTGCCCAGCAGTGAACTGGACATTTCTTTGGCAGAGGTAAGCTCCCATCCCTGGAGATTTTTAAAAAGAGGCTGGTGGTTTCTTATTAAAGATAAGAGGAAGCCTGCAATGAGTAGAAGGTTAAACCAGAGTCCTTTAGTCTCCCTTTTAAGTCTTCTGCAAAAATGAAAAGAAAAGCTTAACTCTACCAAGAGGAAAACAGCCACATCTTACTGACACATGAAACTAGCGGGTGAAAAAGTGTCCTCAATTGCCTCCAAGTTTTCGAACCCAGGGAAAGAAATGCAGTTGGTAAAATTGACCCTAGTGTGAAAGTTAATTGATGGGCCTCTCCTTTTTTTAATAAGAAAGTATTCTTATTAAATTATTTATTTGTTATTTATTTTTCGGAGGCGGGGGGATTAGGTTTATTTATTTATTTTTATTTTTTAGAGGAGGTACTGTGGGGACTGAATCCACGACCTGGTGTATGCATGCGCTCTAACCCTTGAGCTAAGCCCTCCCCCTACCAAGGGCCCTTTTTTTAAACAGTAAAGTAGAAAGTCTGACTCAAGTTCTCGTTGAAGTAGAAATGATGCATGTGGTGTCTTGCCTCAACCACAAGACAGGAGTGACACAGTAGGGTTATACGCCTCACTTCCACCCAAAGCTCACTCCCAATTTGCAAAACGGAGCTTCCAACTGCCAGCCGGCTCACAGCGGCTCTTTTCCCCTTCATAGCTCCTGCTCCGCTAGAGGAGAAAAGGGATTCCTAGCAGCAGCAAGCCAGGAGTTCATAGTCTCCCACTAGTCCCTTCACCCTCACAGCCCTGTGAAAGATGGGGAGTATCCAGTACTTCCATCATGAGAAGGGCAGCATCTTCAGGCTTAGCTAAACAGCTTTCCTCCAGGTGCTGGTTACAACTGGGCTCACTCATCCCAGGTCTTTTAAAGAAGCCATCAATTTGTTGAGAGCATTTTTGGGGACTCGGTTTTATTCTGGAGTTTGTCTCTTTGAAAATGTAACTTTATCCAGAGTTATCCAGAGGATGTTATTTTATTATATTTATAAAATATTTTTATTGTATTTCTAAGATCGGTTTCTTTTTGCTGAAGTTCTTTTGCTCTCTCAAGTTGGGTTTTATTATACTGATCTGCCCTGTCCCCTTTCCCCAACCACTTCTCCGAGGACTGTAATTCTTCATGGTTTCCCACTTAGGGAGCTGGTATGTTTGGTTCATATTCAAAGGAGGATAAAAACAGAGGGAATTTGACTCACCCCTTTTTCACAGTGTGCCTCCATCTTTTCCATGGAAGACTTTTGTTCCCGGAATGCCAGTCCCATTTGCAGTATCGCTCAGAATCACAGGTGAGCACAGGTCATCTGGTCTACTACACACTGAAAGGGTTAAAAGGCACACAGGCACCATTGTGTATTTTGGGGTTTCCTGTCTCCAGTTTGCATGTCTGAGACCAGTTTTGCTCCTGCCGCAGAGCTAACCATAGGCATCGAAAAGGGGAAATACATGTTTCAATGGAGAATATCACGTGGAAGAGGAGAGCACTATTTCGGCGAAAACAGAATACAACCACAACTGTTTTTCAAAGGGTTGAGAAAAAAATCACCAAGAGACAACTTTAGAAATGTTGAAAGACAAGAGCAAGCTCTCCAAAACTGCCGTGAGAGTCAACTGGGGTAGAATATCCACGGTGAGGTTTTCATCTCTGTCTGGTTGCTCCAGGGTAACGGACAGATGTGCATGTGGTAGGGAGGGTCTCGGCTTTCAAGGGCACCTACCCACCACTGCCCTGGGCTAGGAATGTAAGGAATCCAGTGTCAGGGTCCTTGCTGGTAAAATGGTGAAACGGCGTCTTCACAAGTGTTTGTGTTCTTTCCGTGAGAGAAGTTCTAGAACAACTTTTTCCTGTAGAATCCTTGAAGGGTAAACCTTCTGGGTGATGCTGGCTCATTACTGTGTGAATGAGGTCAGGGCTGTTAGTTCCGCATCCTAGGGACCAGTTTGCTGCTGTGTTTCATGGCCGAAGACCACAACTCCAACCTCAATCAGCAATGGTCTGACTGTATTTAGGATGTTGGCAGTCACGAAAAAAACAGGCAAGAAAATACTTGTGTTTCAACTGGAGGAAACTTTGTGCAATCCTCATGACAATGTGACTTTCTTGCCACATCCTCTTTTTCTTCAGAAGGTACTTTTTAAAAAATTTAACATGTATTTATCCAATCATTTGGCACTACATTTCCATTTTTTAACAACTGTGATCAAATGTAGACAGGAATAAGTCTCTTCACTTGCCTATGCACCCAGTGTCCACTTGTGCTACAGGAATCTACTATACTTGATTTTTATGAAAACTTGCAGTTTTTCTATGTATATAATAAGCATATATAGCATATAGCATATCTACAATTCTATGTAGATACATATTACAGTTTTTATACACAAAAAATTCGGTTTTTCATTGAATTGTATTTGGGGGGGAGCCTTGCAAATCGGCACACAAAGCCCTGTATTCTTTTCCATGGCCTCATAATATTCCATTTGGTAGCCATTTGGGTTATCCATAATGCTTTGCATTTTTTAACAAGGTGCAGTGAATAACTTTATACATACATCCTTAGGATGTTTCTATAGGGTAAATTCCTAGAAGTGGAAATTGAGAGGGATGTGCATTTGTTATAGGTATTGCCAAATTGATTTTCATGATTTTAAACATATGACATGGAATTTTAAGAAAGGACTTACCCTTACCTCACACTAGATAAAAAATTAAGATGGAACGAAGACCTAAATGTAAGAGCCAAACTATCAAACTCTTAGAAGAACTCATGGAGTGAATCTTCATGATCTCAGATTTGGCCATGCATTCCTAGATATGATATCAGAAACATAATCCATGAAAGAAAAAAATAGATAAACTGAACTTCATCAAAATTTAAAACTTCTCTGCATTGGAGAAAACTACTAAAAAAGTGAAAAGACAACCCACCAAATGGGAGACAATATTGCCAACTACATGTCTGCTAAAGAGCCATGATCCAGAATATATAAAGTGTAGTTTACAATTCAACAATAAAACAGCACGATTTAAAAATGAGTAAAGTACTTGTGTAGACATCTCTCCAGGGAAGATACACAAATGGCCAAGAAGCCAGGGAAAGATGTTCAACATCATTAGTCATTGGGGAAATGCAAATCAAAGCCACAATGATGCACAATAATTGAATATACTTTATAGCCCTGAACTGGACACTTAAGATGGTTACAATAGTAAATTTTATGTTATGCATATTTTGCCACAATAAAAAAATTAAAGCATAGACCCTTAAAAAAGAAAAAAAAAAGCCACAATGAGATAGCAATTCAACCTACTACATAGCTATAATGAAAAGAAAAGAAAAAGAAAAAGAAAAACAAGTGGTATTGAGGATGTGGAGAAACTGGAACACTCTTACCTTGCTGGTCAAAATGTAAAATGGTGCAGCCACTCTAGAAAACAGTCAGGCAGGTTCTCAAAACATGAAACAGAGTTACCATCTGACCCAACAATTCTACTTCCATGTATACACCCAAGAGAACTGAAAACATGTCCACACAAAAACTTACATGCAAATATTCATAGCAGTGTAATTCATAATGACCAAAAGGTGGAAACAACCCAAATGCCCATCAACTGCTTAATGGATAAACAAATCATGGCCTATTATATACAATGGAATATTATTTGGCCATAGAAAGGAACGAAGTACAGATGCATGCTATAACTTAGATGAACCTTGAAGACACTGTATTGACTGAAAGAAGCCAGTCACAAATTACCACATGTTATGTAATTCCATTTATATGAAACATCCTGAAGAGGCAAACGCATAGAGACAGAAAGGAAATTAGTGATTGCTTAGGATGGGGAGGTCGGAGGAGGGGAAGGTTAACAGCAAAGCAGTGGATGAAAAGTTCTAAAACTGACTGTGGTGATTGATGGTTGCACAATTCTGTGAATGCACCAAAAATTGTGAATTGTTCACTTTAAATGGGTGACTGGGGTAATATATGAATTATATCTCAAGCTGCCACGAAACAAATGTCATCTAATTACAAAGGAATCTAGTTACCTGTTCATGGCGGGATAGTGAAGGTTGAGCTTTCATGATGATCCTCACTTGAGAACCTATTGAATCTTATCAGCCATCACCGTCCAGCACGACCTGGACAGTCTCCGAAAACGCTCCATTTGAAGCATTGGGAATCCAAGAGCACTCCCTGCCATTTGGTAATTTTCAACCAGTAAAAATGTGCCAACCACCACCTTCACCTGATCTGTCACCATTTAACTTTTGGCTTTTCTCTATATTGAAACAAACTATAAAATGAAAGAGATGGGCACTCTTGAGGAAAACACTTCTAAACAGTACACCACCCAAAGGTGTTTTAAAACAGTAGTATTACTTTATTTTATTTTTTATTTAAAAACATTTTATTGATATGTAGTTGACTTACAATGTTACTTTCAGGTGTACAGCAAAGTGATTCAGTTATACATATACATACATATATTTTTTTTCTTTTCAGATTCTTTTTCACTATATGCTGTTACAAGAAATTGAATATAGTTCCCTGTGCTATACAGTAGGTCCTTGTTGTTTATCTATTTTATATGTAGTAATGTGTGTCTGTTAATCCCCAAGCCTTAATTTATCCCTCCCCACCCTTTCCCCTTTAGTAACCATAGTTTGTTTTCTATGTCTGTGAGTCTAAAGCAGTAGTTTTAGACGCATGTCAACAAGTTATGTGATTAGTGAATTAAGTGAGTAGGTAGGGAGGGGAATGCTTTGAAAGCCATGCATCATTTATCTCTGAAAAAGCACAATTCACTTATTCTGTTGTTAACTAAATCTTTTGACTGACCTCATAAAAAAAAAGCCCCTAAAAATTAATAAGTAGAAGATTAGTAATCCATTGGGGAAAGGACAGGAAAAGAGTTTTCAGAAACAAAAAATGTAAAAATAAGATTTAGAGGTGAAAAAGTGTCTGTCCTCCCACAAGAGAAAAATGCAAGTTAAAACTATCCCCACATTCCATATTTCCTCTGTCAGAGTGGCAAATATCAAAAAGCTTACTGATACGGTGGGTTTTCAGAGGTGTGAGGAAATAGGAACCTCGGATTATTGATAAAAAAAATTAATTGGCACATTCCCCGGAAGGCGATCGGACAGCACCTAACAAAATGTACAAGGCCCGCATCCTGTGACCCAGAGATTCCCCTTCGAGGAGTCGTGCTACGAATGCATTTTTCTCTTTCCTCTGTCTTTTCTCCTCTCTCTTCTAATACCCACTCCATGCCTCAAGTGAAGTCAATAAATAGTAATAATTCCCTTAAACTCTACAGAATTAATTTCTTTTCGACTACAGGAATTGGCAGCTCAAAAAAAAAAATCCCCACAAAACTAGATGCCTTAGCAATTGAAGAGAAACCTTAAAGGTTCCCTCTATCAAGGTTCACAGCTATAAAAGCATTAGATGAAGCTCCCAGTATACTGCACTGTAGGTCGGGTTAAGAATCCTATTCAGTAAGAGCTGGCATGACTGGGTCCAGGAAGCTGAGCCCAATTATCAGCATATGTGCTACCCTAGTGCCCCCTGCTGGTGAGATGCAAAAACAAACGTATGTGGTAGTTTTCGTTAACACTTTCTTCAATCGCTGCTCTGAAAACTCGGCATTTCCTGCGACTTCCGACTTACTGATTATTACCTCTGCTCTCTCCATCTCGCACCTCTTTCTTGAATCAGACAGGCTTGCCTCCTACGTCTCAGTGAAGAGCGAGATCCCTTGATATCCCACCTTCTAAGGCTCTTTTCACTACTCTTTCCTGGCTGTTTCTCTTTGGGTCATTGTAGCTCTACCTCTTCTTCTCCTTCAGTGTGTCTATCTGCCTCTGCACTGGCCACTCCCCATGTACCCACGTGGCCCCTTGGCCTCCCACCCACAGAGGACCCGCCATCCCCTCACTCACTGCCCAGTCTCATCTACACTTGCTCACTCCCCACTCATTCCTTAATTCAGGGTTTCTTACAATGAGATCTGTGGACCATCTACATACTATTCACCTGATTGCCTGGAACCTACAATTATAACAAGGAACCCAGAGAATTCACACACACACACACACACACACACACCATAAAGACCACCCTGATTTTTTTACCAAAACATATGCTCTTGTCCAGAAACTTACCATACCTCCTAACCATCTAAAGAGTTAAGTGCAAAAGGCTCATTCTTGGCTTTCAAGGCTTTCGGTAAATTGTTCAAAAGATCTGCTGTTCCTTCCTGTAAGAGGATTATATATTCCTACCCACCAATGGTAGGCTTGGCTGTCTGATGTGCTTTGGCCAATGAATGTGGGCAGAAGTAACACAAGCCTCTTTCAGGCAGATGCTGGGAGAAATGTTGCAGAGTTCTGCCACATTCTGTTTTCCCTCAGCCAGAACTGATGCCACTTCAGCTGGAGCCCAAAGCCAAGATGCGAGGAGCAGACAGAGTACAGGCAACCCACAGTGGAAACCTGATGTAAATGAGAAATAAGCTTGTTGCATCACTGCAATTTGGAGTCCTTCGTTACTGCAGTCTGACTTTGCCTAAGCTGACTAATACAAACACTCCACAAGTTGCTTTCCAAACTTTATTCCTCATTACTCTCCAATACTTAACTCCAGCCAACTCCTGCCAAATTGGGTGACTTGCTTTTCCTCACTCAAAAAGTATGCCAATTTTACTGTTCACTATCTGCTGTCTACCAACCACACCTCTGAAAATTTGACTTCAACCTTCAAAGTCCATCTCAATTGTCATACCAAGTGAAGTAAGCCAGAAAGAGAAAGAAAAATACCATATGATATCACTTATTTGTGGAATCTTTAAAAAGGAGACAAATGAATTTATTTACAAAACAGAAACAGACTCACAGACATAGAAAACAAGCTTGTGGTTACCAGGGGGATAGGGGAGGCTGGAGGGATAAACTGGGAGTTCGAGATTTGCAGATACTTAGTACTACATATAAAACAGATAAATAACAAGGTCATACTGTACAGCACAGGGAACAATATTCAATACCTTGTAACAGCCTATAATGAAAAAGAATATGAAAAGGAATATATATATATATATATATATATGAATCACTATGCTGTACACCAAAAACTAAAATTGCAAATCAACTGTACTTCAATACAAAACAAAAAAGACACTCAAAATAAAAACAGTCTATCTCAAGAGTCACTTTCTGCGTGAAGCCTTTCCTCATCTCTGGATGAGCTAGGAACGTTCCTTTCTTTCAGCCCTACACAATGCTAACTACTGTAACCTGTTTGTTCTTGTTGGTCTTTTTTAATACTTTAAAAAAATCATATCTCCCCCATAAATTCCTTGAGATTAAAGATGATCTTATTCAGAATTGTATTCACTGAAGCTTTGCCAATAGCAGGAACCCACACATACATTTGTTGAATTAAAACAGCACTTTCAGTTAGAGAACTGCTGTTTAATACATTCTGATGTTTTGAAAGGTAGACTTTACCAAACATTTAACATACTCATTGGGGAAGCAAAATTAAGAATTATTTCTAATAGCAAATGTTCCTGCTGAATGAAGTATGGCTCAAAGTTTAATGAGCTTCTGTGTGTGTGTATGTGTCTTGTAGTCGTCTGCAAAAATAACCAGGTCTTGACCTTTATCCCTTTCTCTCTCTTTAAACCCAAAAGGTTGTAAAGCAAAACTTCATCAAAGAAAAATAATTTATCATAAAGTTATTATTCCTATTGTTACATTCCATGTGCTAAGGGCAATTTTTATACCTATAGCCCAAATTAGCTAGTGTATTTTCTCACATTCAGGAAGATGTATTTGCCTGCTTATGATTAAAATTCCACAAATATAATTCCAATATCAATACAAATACACTTACCAAACCCCAATAAAAAAGTGCTGCCCCTACAAACCCTTGGAGCAAATGGAGTCCTTATTCTTGGTGACGAGCACCTGTCTCCTCTTCCATTCCTCTCCAGCTTCTATTAACCCAGTGCCCTCTGAAATATTTTCGCAGTAATTGCAATCCCTTTTCAGGTTTTTCTGAATCTAATTTTAAAAGGATAGGAGATATTATTTTTGAACTGCTCATCAATTTCACGCGGTGTGAGGTTTTACTCTGAGCTAAAGGTAAAAATACTTTATACTTATTAGAGACACAAAGTTGCTTGCCAGAGCACCTCAAATTGGCCATCTGTGCTGGGAAAAAATGCCATCCATTCACCCTCTTCAATATTGCAGGAAGGGAAACATTTCTTCTACTAAAAACTCAAAATGCCACAAAAACACACAGATTCCTGACCTTCTGTTAGTCATTTTGCTATCTTCAATATCAGCAATTTCTAAACCATATGCTGTGGAACAGAAGCTATCTCTACATATAGAGACAGATGTTTAGTGAAAAAAAAAGCAAGGGTTTAAGAGGGGGATCAATGATCAAATCAATTTGAAGAAAACTGCACACTGGACCTCAACCCCGTTAGGAAGTTGTTTTTTACTTAGGGTATTACATCTCTCATG